CTCTCTCTCTCTCTCTCTCTCTCTCTCTCTCTCTCTCTCTCTCTCTCACACACACACACACACACACACACACACACACACACACACACACACATGTTTGATTGCCCACACTCCCAGACCGAGCTGTAGCACATCCTATACCCATATGTGTTTTCCTGCAGTCTATACCCTCTTATCAGTCATCAGCAAACACACCCAATGAAAACGGAGCATGCTATTGAATGGATTGCTACTTGTGAACTGTATGAGCCACCCAGCCGATGTGGCTGAATGGTACACACTTGCAACTAACTGTTGGTAAGCAGAGAAAGAGAGTTCCAATCTTGATGGAAATAGATGGAACACAATACAGCTAGGGGCCGCATGAAGCATTTGATCAATCCGTGCTGCCAGTTCCCACCTACGGATCCCTTTTCCATGTGAATCCGGGCAAGTCCAGCACGCTTTATCATAATAAAGGCAAACCGATCTGGAGAACTTTGCCTACGTGCCCTGAGCTAAAAATGTCAAAAATTTTGGCTTAACAAATGACGAAAAGACAGCACCATTGTCCCAGTTCACATGCAAAAAAAGGGGTACCTATCTATCCCAACTCTCACCATGTCAATGTACCCCACTATTTACATGTGCCCCCTTTACACGCTACACAGGTGTGCAATACGGTAATTCTACGATCCCCCCACACAGAGTCTCTCTCACCAGTCATGACAGAGGAGCATTGTTCTTTATCGTTGACAAGCCGGAGGGCACCCTTTAGGTCACCAACTGCTCCACAGTTCAGCCAACACTTTTTCCATCTTATCTGCAGAGGAAACCACAGCTTCCGCACGCAGAGGAAGGTTCATGCGCTGTGGGGAGCCATGGCACCTATTGTTTCATTGACAAGAGAGAGCACATGCACACACCTTCCCAGCACCCCTAGTTACAAAATTCAAGCCCATGTGGTAATAAAGCACTGTCGTATCACTTTTTTCTGCGATTAATCTCCAAAAGTGCCGGAGGGGAGAACAGGGAAGTAGTATATCAGAGGAAATGCAACTTCGTCTGATATGGAAAAAGAAAGTTGATACGAAGAGCAAAGAGATCTGTTTGCTTGTTCCCCTCTGGAAATGTTTTTTTTTTTTTTCTTGAACCACCAGTACACCCGGGCCTGGAGGTGCTGCACTGCTCGCCAAGTTTTCCGTAACCGCCAGCGGCATGCTTTTTTCCTCTTTCAGCTGGCACCGCCAGCCATTGCGGTCCTGCAGGCCCGGGCCGCAAAATTTCCAGAGTAGGACCCAGCAAACACTGGGGCCGTGTGCTGGCGGTTTAAGGGCAGACAATACGTCAAGGAGGGTACACTTCACTTCACAAGAAATGAGGGAGGGCATGTTCTGCTGATGGGCTAATTTTGTCTTGCATATGTGGCTCACGACATCACTCGCCAAATGCCAACATTCTAAATGTATGCAGACCAGGCTCATGTTCCGATTCATTCAGAATATTGGCATTTCAAGACACGTGCACGGAGCCCTTATGTGTCGATGAAAGCGATTAATGACAGAATTCTGCCCGATGGGGCAGATATGTATTACAATGAATGCAGATAGATGAGAAGCTCGTGAATGCCGTGTTATAAGTCTGACTCGGCGCAGCAAAAATATCTCCAGAAATTGTCCGTATGTCCATGCCCGAAATACATGCAATCTCCCAGTACCTCAAACTTCAAAGAAGAGAGTGAGAGAAGGGGGAGAAGAGACAGAGAGGAGGAGGAGGAGAGTTCCCGGGAGAATCAATAAAGCAATAGCCCCTCCTCAAGCCCACTTCCTCCTCGGGCATCTCCCTCTCTCGCCACATCAGCAATGCAGTTCTCCTCTGACGATCGCTGACACATACAATGCACAGGTCACAACAGGGCGCCCATCCTCCATCCACGTCCGCAGCAAACAGGGAGGACGACGCGGGTCTTCTTCTTGGAGACGAGCAGCATATCACACACGACGTCACAGGTACGTCCAGGTAAGCTTCCCCTCATCACACGCACCACTCTCAGTCCAGATCCTCCTCCTCCTCCTCCTCCTCCTCCTATCAATGTCTAAACCTACGCGGCTATGGCTGCGACAGCATAATCTCCCTCAAGCCTTGTGTTACAGACCAGCATCAAGTCAGCCCAAGACAATGTCCTACAAGCAGGGGCTGGGTCAACTTATAGTGTTGACTCACGTTGACCAGCCTCTGGTCTTCCTAGGGTCAACCCAGATCAATCGGATGCCAATGGCCTGGATGCTGCGCAGTTGCAGATTTCCCACGTGTCCCACTCGGACCGCATTCTTCTGGATACCTGCAGACAACCAATGATGTGCATCTGATCCACGGCCATGGCTGACCAGCGGGTTGACTTTTAAGCCTGGAATCCCGTGCTGGGGTTGACCATTGACTTTCTCAGAGTCAACTGCCGCTCCGCTCGTAGGGCCTCTGTATGCAGTTTTTGGCCAAGCCCTGGGTACCGCTTGGCTTTACGCCTTTGCCCAGGCCTTCCTCGGACTTTGGGCGTGACTTTTGACCCTTGTTTCGGGCCTTTGACCGAAAGTTACGTCCCCTTGCTCACGTCAATGCAGATTCTGAAACTGAGTTATTGCAGTATCGATTAGAATTAACAGAATTAGGAGTGCTTTCGAAATTCAAAAAGAACGTCCTTAGGTGAGGCTGCAGAGTTGCCCACGTGAAAAAAAGGAAAGGCACATTCTGCTGATGGGCCAGATTCTCCACTATATTGACGATGTATCATATATCGTCAAACAGAACTGCCTGGTAAACCGTAGGCAGAGATACATCGATTGAAAGAAAGAAACTAAGAGAACTAAGAGTGCTTTGGAAATGGAAAAAGAACGTCCTTAGGCGAGGCTGCACCATTGCCTACCTGAACAAATGTGTTGCTCGAACATAACAACAAGAAAATCCGTTAGGACCCTGGCCCATGCAGTGGAATGGTGGTGCACACATGCAATTCTCTTGTCTATCGGCGGACGAGAGTTCAAATCCTGCCCAATCAGATGGATCCAGTAATCAATGTCACGAGATATTCCCTTTTAAAGGGACAAGTGGACCCGCCGCAGCTACGCTGCGGCAAAGGTCGATGACAAAAACAATTTGCGGAAACACTCCAGTCATTCACACACACACACACACACACACACACACACACACACACACACACACACACACACACACACACACGTGTCTGTAGGAGTGTATACTTGGATGTTGTAGTGGAAGATTCATCCGATTTTACTCATCCTATCGCCGTGGTGTTGCAGGCTTACCTATTGGCCGAACCGATCGATGGAAAACTCTCTCTCTCTCTCTCTCTCTCTCTCTCTCTCTCTCTCTCTCTCTCTCTCTCTCTCTCT